AAGTTTGTCTTCTATATATTATATATTAAACTTCAATTCTTAAAGAAGTTTTTAAGCATCACAGCGAACTTTTCTGAAAGAGAGCTTGAAACTAAGGCTCAGTTCACACTATTTGATGCTCATCTTCTTAATTAATAATCATCTGCCATGTAATTGAAAGAAATTGTGCTTTTAATTTTAATTATTGTTAATACATAGAGTATTAGTCTGTTTTTATTGCTCATAACAAAATACATGGAACTGGGTAATTTATAAGCAAATGAAATTTACTGCATACAGTTTCTGAGTCTGGGGAGTCCAAAGCCCATCTGGTGGTGGTGACAGTGACACAGGGGTCTCACATTGCAAGATGGTGGAAGCAGAGAGAGAGAGAAAGCAAGAGGGAGACTCTCTTCTTTTAACACCTTCAGAACCACGCCCCTGACCATCTTTTTTAATCCATTCACTAGTACACGGTCCTACAATCCAATCATTTCTTCAAGGCTCCACCTTTCAATTACTGTAATAGGATTTCCCACCCTCTTAACAGTCACAGTGGGGGCCAAGTTTCTAATACATAAAACTTGGGGGACAATTCAAGCTTCAAGGAGTTTTGGGGGCACATAATTCAATCCACTACACATAGTTTCACCTATTTTCCTATAAATTGAATTGTTTAAACCCATTATTGCCTACATGACTATACAGAGGTAAAATTTACTTTTTTCCTTTAATATATGAAGGAATGGTTGCTATGTAATAGAGATCAAGCAGATTTTAGGAAAAAATTTTTAAATTGTTAATTAAAATTATTAAATATTTTATATTACTTAGTATATTAATTGTATTGCTTATTATATTTTAAAAACCAGTTAAGTGTATAAGGCAAAAATTGAAAAGTTTTCATCCATACCTCTCCCTCTAATCTCATACTTTAGCGATAAATCCTATGAACAGTTTCCTGTGTATTCATTTGAATTTTTTTCAAAGCACAACCAGTTTAGAAAGTGGATCCAAAGTCATGAAGAAAAGTATTGTAATCTTACGTTTCTATACGTGGAATCATAATTCTCTGTTTTAGAAATTCCTATTAAGTATATGGTTTATCCATGCTAATGTTCTAATTGCTAATTAACTGGAAGCCATCAAGCACTGTTTCCTCTCTCTGACCTTGTTCCCTCTTTCCTCAGCATTTTCAACTTCAGTGTCCTAATTGGTTCCTTAATGCCAACCTATAATCATACTCAAGTCTGTTCTATCCTAAAAAGATTTTTCCTTGATCCTTCCGTGTCTAGTTTGTGCAATAGTAAGCCCGTGATAAATATTTATTGGAAGAATATATGAATGAATGCTTCGTATACAACATGTGGAGATGAAACTATAACATCATTACTAGAAATTAATCCTGCACATTGTTGAAAGTTTTTTACTGTAGTATTTAGGAGATAATTTGTTACTAATTAATGAGTATAAAGTTGTCATAATAAATACTATTATTTTAAGAACTGGTACTCATTGAAAAGTATCTTACTTTTAGGTTTACATCTCATTGGATCAACCTGTGACCACTTTAAATCTTTTCAAACAAGGCTTAGATAAGTTTCCAGGAGAAGTAACCCTGCTTTGTGGAATTGCCAGGATTTATGAGGTAAGGTTCATATTATTTTAAAAGTTGATATAAAATTGAGGGTATGTGCTACCTGAGTAAGATTATAGTCCCTTGGGGTCCTAGCAAAGAGAATGATATATAAAATTATGATGGTTAGCCCATGGTTTACCAGTAGAATAAGATATTTTAGTGTATGCATTTAGTCAAACTAAGTTTTTATTATGAAGTATTTCAAACACACGGAAAAGTATAGAGAATGGCATAAGATAAGGATTTAAAATATTTTCCCTGAATGGATAACCTGTTGTCACAGCACATTTATTGATCTGTTCCCAAGGTCTGTAATGTCAAGTATCAATTTTTTTCCATATGATAGATATGTTTTGGGGCTTTCTATTCTATTCCATTGGTCAGTTTGCCCATCTTTGTACCAATATTATACCACCTTAATTACTATAGATTTAATACTTACTATCTGGTAGTGTTCCTCTTCACCAGGAGCACATTGGCTATTTTGGATTTTTGCTTATTCTTGTACATTTTAGAGTCATATTGTCAAATTCCATGAAAAGCCCCACTGAGATATCTTCCCTGCTGTCTAATTACTATAGCTTTACAATAATTCCTGCTATCCAGTCAGGCAAATTCTACAGCTTCGTTTTTCTTCTTCACAGTTGGTTATTCTTGGCCCTTTGCTCTTCCATATTGATTTTAGAATTGACCTATCAAGAACCATAAAAAAACCTGTGCAGGCATATTGTTTTAGTCCGTTTTGTGTTGCTATAACAGAATACCTGAAACTGGGTGATTTATAAAGAAGAGAGGTTTATTTGGCTTAGGATTCTGGGACAGCTGCATCTGGCACGGGCCTCAGGTTGCTTCTACTCATGGCAGAAAGTGGCAGGCAGCCGGTGGGTACAAGCAGATCACATGGTGAGAGAGGAAGCAAGAGAGAGAGAGAAGGTGCCAGGGTCTTTTTAAGCAATGAGCTCTCATGGGAACTAATAGAGTGAGAACTCACTCATTAATCCCCCTCCCCCAGGGAGAGCATTAATCCATTCATGACGGATCAACTCCCATGACTCAGTCAGTTTCCAACAC